TCTCGCCATCCATTTGCTTCCACCAACTCGCCATACTTTTAAATGCTATTAACTAAAGTAAAGCTTTTTTGTATGTTGGGCATTAGAGTCCCAGAGGAACTCCAGGAAAGCCGAACAGCAAAGTACCGCGCACCTGAAAGCCGTATTTTCTGGCAGGACCGGCGTTTCATTAGGAAAGCTGAAAAGTGTCATTGGGTGTGGGCTTATTTTAAAGGTAGGTAATAATCAAAAAGTATAGACCCGAAGATGGAGATGTTTAAAAAGCACATACATTAAATGAAAAGGTGTCGCTGCATTTTGATGCATTGAAATGAAGTTTTGCCGCTACGTGCATTACTGCAGACTCACACGCCCCAATTCCTGTGCTCCAAAGTAATTTTTCCAATTAGGCCCTCGGCTGCATTTTTAAAAATAAAGCATATTATGTGACCATAAATGCTTTAAGTTGTAAGAATTTGATTAGCAGCAGGTTCTTATGAAATAGACCGCCTATTACTGGTTTCTTATTTAATGGCTATTTTAGGACCGGTAACGCCTCCGATAACCCCAATGGATAGGCTTATTTTATTTTCTGGTGGAAATCTTTCCTTATTTCTTGATGCACTCTTCGAAATTCTACTGTTTTCGAACAATACAGCTCTGAGCACTACTAATGCGTTTCCACCAATTTTGGTTTTGAGTGTCCAACAGAAGGTCAACGATAGGCAATGCTTCATGCAGACCTATATCAGAACAAGGGGTTTTGTCTTTCATATAAACTAGAGCCTCCTCCTCTCTCCTCCTCCTAATTCTTCATAGACCAAACACGAATTTATCTACAACCACAACCAGACATTTTCACCGCTTCCGAACCGTTGTCACTGTGATCATAAGAAGAATGGGAGCTTTTCACTTCGTTATCTAAACAAAGAGCGTTTAAGAGAGTTTATCGCACGTTCGAAGATTGTTCGAGACTTCAGAAATGATCACCTTTAAGTTGTATCGAGGAGTCGAATGCAATACAAACATCGCTACTTATTCGTATTTCTGCAATCTGGAAAAAATTTGAACTCGTTCCATCTCTTTAATCAAGTAGCACATGTGCTGCCTTAGATGTTTGCTTAACTTCTGATGTTGGTAAGAGGGTCACTTGGGCACTTTGCCGTTGTACTTTCATTGGGTGTGCTGGCCTCCAGGCCGTGCCAGTAGCTTCATGCCCTGCTGCTGATCTACAATACATATTCTGCCCGAGTATTGTGCCTTATTCTGCCCTTAGGGAGGTCTCGGATCGCTGCATTAGTTGCAGCAGAAGGCGAACGTTATTCTAGGGGATCTGTCCTGATTTTTACTGCTGGGTGATAAACGTTGGTGGGACAGAAGAGAATATGCTAGAGAGAAATCTGGATAGATATGAATGGGCGACGTTATAGTGAATGTAGCGTGTCAAGCAGAAATAGAAGCAAAACCCTATCAATACGGAGCTATTCTAAGCCCTATCCTTTGCTGTACGACTCTTCTTTTAGGCTATCGTTCGGACGATTAGCGATAAACATGCGCAGTGGCCGCCACACTCCCTGTTCTCCAGTACAGATTCAATAGAATTGGCAAGAGGGATTAGTGATGTTAAAATCAAGCATCTTCTTGGTGGCATGGGAATTCGATGACCGACACGGTTGCCTCATGGGCGTTTTTCGTACAGCACCAGCGCGTTGTGACCAAGAGGAGCGCCGGGGACGACGCTCAAAGGGTGGAAGGACTACGGAACACGTCGAATGTTTGTTTGACTCGCGGTTTTGATAAAGGGGACACTCGAGTGGCATCCGCTAGGTGGCCTCACCTCCAACCCACGCCAACAGCATCAAATTCTACTGCATGTCAAATGTATATATTCTAACCGAGTATCATGCCTTCCTTCGCCTTCAGAGTAGTCTCGTGGTGCTACAGCATATAGCCAATTCAAGCTTCGATTATCTCAGCGCTCTTTACCCTGTTCAACTTTTAGCTCATGCAGCGTACTTAATTATGTCTCGCTTCATTTACCAAATAATACATTTATGTGCTCCCCACTTAAAAAACCTCTAATCTGCTATATCAAATGACCAATAACGTTTTCTCTGACCCTGTACTATCATTGCTCTCGTTAACTAGAATTTGTGAAAAACATTCGACTTCGTGGTCTCTGTGTCGCCACCTACTAGGATAGCTAGAAAAAGCGGAAAAACCATCAACATCACGTCAAGGCAGAAACTGCAGTTTAAACGAATTGCCTTTCGCAAGAAGCTTAACGCCTTTGTTATAAGTGGATCATGACAAGTGAATAGAAGCAGATGACAATGTCAGCCCTTTCTTTACGCCTTTGTTGCAAATTTTCATATCAGCGGTGTCTTTGACTTTAGTCTGGATAAATGAAACATACCTGGGAATGCTCCCGGTTCATTTACAAAGGAGGTGTGCCTGAAATCGAAGCAACTGCTGTGCTTCCACTTCATTCCAATGGACCAGGGTGAAGAATTGGGGGATCGCATGGGCAGCGATGACCTTTAAAAACTCCGAGAAAAGTAAAAATTTCGGATTCGAAATCCATGCTTACTTTCCCCTGACATGTACACACCAGAATTTTGAAAGAGGCGGAACGGTAGGTTCGAGAAAGTTTATACCTGCATTTTCTAAAGAAACGGGTAAAATGTTCCTGTTTGACCAGAAAATCCTGCTATTATGTTGTTGTTTATTTTTAGAAAAAAAAATAAAACAACGTTGTGTGTGAAGCCTGTTTTTGAGTAGACACCATTTTCATGGCAAACCATTGAGAATTATGATTATTATAAATCTGTATGCCTCATTTTACAGCACAGTGCCGGGATCCTCGCATATTTTTACAGCCAGAAGCTTACCCAAATTTAAAAGAGATTAAATTTTAGGACTTAGTCGCAAACATTTTCTACTTCAGTCCAGGAAACCGAAAAGCCTAGTAAAGTTAAGTCGAACCTCCCCTTACCCTTGTAAATACATCTTTTAGACGCAAATCTGTGGCATGCATGCCGATCTAGAAAACTGCCTATATTTTCGCTTCGTCAGCGAAACGCAGGCAACACCTCTCGCCTGATTTGTAACAAATTGAATACTTTTAGTCCATATTTCTTCTTAAATAACATTCAAAAAGTTAAAATGGGGTACTGCTAGTTGGTAATCCCTTTAAACAAAGACGGCCTTCAAACTAACATGAATTTTATCTCCTGATGCTGCGGCATGTCCCACTCAGTAGTAAAAAAACCTACTGTAGTATTGGAAAATTAAATATAATTTCTACCAAATCGGTACTTTAGTCTCCGCGACTTCTACTACCACTTCAATGCCATTGACACCCAACCGTGGCCACAGCCTCCAATTCTTTCTGTCCGCTAGTATTAAACCATTCTGCTATGCCTTATTACACCTCCAAAGGCGAGTCGAGATGGCGTAATGTAACTCAGATGCACGACAGATATGAGTTTGAATCTAAACGCTTACAATGCTACTTTGGAGTCGGAAATTTACCTTTCATGCAGCAAGAGAGCAGATGCTCTTCGAAGTCCACCCAAACCATGCTACTCGCAAGACAAAAGTAGGCAACTGGCCCAATCGAAAACGGAAGCATGCGTGCATGTGAAATAAAAATACGCTAATTTATTGAAACTGACTAAGGGGTCAACAAGGACAAAAAGCAGAGGCACGATGGGGAAGATGGCTAAAGAACCTTTCTATAGGTAGTGATGGTGGTAGCGACGTCATGGAAGGCCTGGGATCGAGTCCACGCCCGGAGACGCTCCGCCTCGCCTGCAATGAAGTGACGTACCTTCGAACAGCGGTCGTTTGTGCATCCTGGACAGCGCAGGAAGAACTGTCGCGAAGCAACCTCCCCACTGCGCAAGTGTCTTGCCACCAGATTCGCCATTCCCTAAATACAACGAAGGCATCAATCCGACCTGTTTCAAATATGGTAGCCGTCAATCACTAGGGTAAAATGTTTATTTAACCTCGTGAATATGAAAATATGGTAATGGCACTTTTAATGGCTTATCATATCTACCAATGGTAGGTACGCTAATAAATCCGCCCAGTTCCAAGGAAACGCCTGCTATGGGTGTGTAAGGCTTGCGCTCCCGCGGTGTGTACCACAAACGCTACACATCTGGCAATATTGCCATAACTCAAGAATTTTAGTTAATATCGGTAACTGCATAGACGGCAAATTTGCAAAGTATTATACCAACTCTGCTTTGCAACTACACAAGTGCTTTGAATGCGATGAAGTCCAAATCAGTCACCATTTCCGTTAAATGTAAGAAAGGCACGGCACGGACTTCCACGGAATCGTACTGTTTGCTCTAATGTACTCAGTTTCGCGAGCAGACAACAAAAAGCACCATTCTTTGAGCAGTTTAAGCCAATTATTCCCAGCGATTTTAATCACAGTGGTGCCTTCAGAACTTTCATTGGAGATTTTAAACACTTCGAGCTAATCATGAATTTTCAGCTGGTTCCTTAACCAGTATGTCTGCTTCGCGACCACCTTTTCGAATCAATAGTTTTATTTCATTGTTTTAAGGTTATGTATTGCAGGCTAAGCATCTGTATTTCATTTGACAAGTCCCATTTTTAAGTAAGTAGGCTCTAATAACGCAAGTATACAAGCATGCAACCCCAGCAAATCATCATCAACGTTTTTTTTAACGAAAAAATCGTCGTAAACAGCAAGTTCCTGACTTGATAGCTTCCAAACTGAAGTATTTGCAGTGTAATTATCGTCTCGAACTAAAAGATCCGCCATTAAGTGGTGTGCGATAAAATTCACACTCCACCTATTCAATGAGGCAAGAAAAGCGCACAAGATAAAAGCGTACCTGAATGAAGAGGGGATGATCATTAGGGGCAGAGGCTCGTCGGACGCTGGCCATTCCAACCTCCCTAGCCAAGTCGGAGCAGTAATTAATGTCCATCTCGTGGAGGGTTTCAATGTGTTCAGAGGTGAAGGCGATGGGCACGATGACAACATGTTTCCGACCGAGACGCGCAAGTCCTCGCAGAGCGTTTGCCGTGTCCTGTCCCATCCAGCGCCCCGGACCTACCTTCGATTGCCACACCAGTCGGTAGGGCAGCGCAAAATTCAGTTTCTCCATCACCGCGTGAACTGTTGCTGATACCTCCTGGAGAGTCACACACAAGTTCAGCATAAACTAATATAACATATCACCATCTGAACATTTGACAATGAGAACTCGCCTGGATGTAGGGGTCACCGCGATTTACGACCCACATTGGAATAGAGTGAGCGCTGAAGAGAATAATGGTATTCTCTTTGTCAAAAGTTGGTGGCAGATGAGAGAGTTCATGACGGATGTTCTCGGCCAGCACCTCCGCAAATTCAGGCATAGCAGTGGGCCACCGATCGAGGAATGACCAAATGGTACCGGGAGGTTTGGGAATCTCGCCAGTCTGAGACCTGGGAGGTGGTATGGAGTCAATACCTGCTAGACCGCCGCTGACAGGTTCGTTATAATGTGCAGCGATGGCATTGAAGCTACTGCCAGAAGTGGTACAGCTGTACTGTGGAAACTGACTGAACGCCACCACACGCTCCACACCATCGCTGGAACCCAACGTAAGAGTATAGTCTTAAACACAATTAAATCAGAAAATATTTCACGGAGAATTCCACGTACTCCTCAATTTCATTGATTGCCTCTTCAGTAAGTGGATGAACATATCGCATACCAAGATAGTACTTATGGGGGCCGGTTTCTGGACTGATTCTGTCTAACACTCGAACGAGTCCTTTGCCCTGACAGGTGGCCCATTGGATAAGTGGAGAACCGCCACCAATTTCGTTATACTTTTCTTGTGCTATGGGAGCACGGCGACGAGCAACCCATGAAGCAAAAGCTCTAGTTGTTATCATTTAAATGATGCAAACCTCTGAAATGGCAGCCAAATCACCTCACGATCATTAAATAGCCGCAAAAGGAAATGAAACACGTCTTCGGTTGTTTCTGGACCGCCCATATTTAACATTAATATTGCTGTTTTGGGCCTATTACACAAAAAAAAACACTTTACAAATAGCGGTTACCTGTCTACATTTGTATGCAATAATTTAGTCACACTGTTTTTGGAGAGGCTAAAAGACCTCCCCAATCTCATCGTGTTGAAGAAATGACCGTTAAGGTTAGAGCACCCTTGGGCCAGAATGGGCCAAACATATAGGCCAGTAGACATCCGAGATTCATCTTGGCTTGTGGGAATCAGAAGGGCAGACTATGTGGAATCACTTTCGTATAAGCTTGGCACGAAGCGTCTCAAACTAGATTGGTTTTATTTCGCGCTTTAATTTTTAGTTGTGTCACTTTAAAATTGTAATAGCAAAGCATTATACAACTTGAAACTGTTGTTCAGCATTTTGACTCTTCTACACCAAATAATTTAGTTATAGAAGTAATTATAAAGTCACTTTTAAGTTGTTAAAGTGTATTTTTGTTGTGTATTGGCTACTTCAGATACTATCTTTATATGCCGTAAACTTTTAGGCTATACGTTAATAACATCCTTCTTGGTATTTGAACCTGTTACGGCTTCGAAAAAGAATTTAGACAACACACAGATACTATTTCGCAGAATGCCTTAAAAAAACTCAATCACTTCTTTAATAGATTCCTTTGCACATTAACGTCTTAGACTCCTGTTGACACTCATCTTTTTTAGGCTTACGCCGTTAAATGGGAATTGCAACTTTAACGAACACTCGACAGGCAAATTATTTTAAATTAGTCCTTGTTATATCAACAATCTTATTGTTAACAGCGTTTCTGTTGCACAACTCATAAAAAAGTGGTCTGTGGAGGAAAATAACTCCTCTTCGAACTCCCAAATTAAACAGCCAAAGTTCATTACCTGAACATGAATCTTCTACTTCCCTAAATCTAGCTTAATGTCTGGGAAATTAATGACCCACATTTCAAGGAATCGGTGCTTGTGTTATTCGTTTTGGTAGGCAATCTGTTTTTACTCTAGATAACTTTGGACCAAGCCTTAGGCAAAAAAATTGAGACGCCTTGACTATTGCTTACCGTTTTTTTCAGTTGCTCCTCCCATTTGGTAGAGGTGTGCCTCCTAACTAGAACACCGCAAAACTACAAATAATAAGTTCCACCTCCGCAAGACTAATGATCTACTTAACATGAATTATTTTGTTTGATCAAGTGAAACCTTCAAACTGAATGTCCACCAGTAACCCAATTTTGGGGGTACCCACTCTGTTGATAGTCGTAGGGTTGATTTGCGAAACTGCCAGTGTTCTGCAGACAGCAACGTGCCTTCAGATTCTGTAATCCATAGATTTATACGCCGTCTTCTCAAAAGAAGGCACATGATGGGAGGCACTAGCTTCTTACCCACATTGGGCATCCTGTGCTTTGTGTATCGGAAATTGTTTCGAATCAAGTTCTGGTTCGACTTTGATGAAGCCTAAGCCTAGCCAGTCTGACACAATTCATTCCTCACCGATACCATGCGAATTTAACTAACCGCTCTTCTACTTGGTCTTCCGTGGTGTCTGATGCATTGATTAAAGCCGATGTAAAGGGCCTTAATCGCGAAAATCCACATTGCTCAGCGCACCTATACTTACCTAGCGTTCACATGAATCTGCCTACATGCCGACAAATTTGAACACAGCCACGTCCACTGATAGTTTTATTTCGTATACGCTTTGAAATTGGGGTGAAACTTATGTAAGCGGAGTTGGAAAGGACGAGATGTGAGAGATAGGGGACAAACAAAACCAGGTAGCAAAAAATAAGAATATAAATAAACTGCATAAAATCAAGAGTCTGCCACCACGTGTCCAAGCGCCTGTCCCACCCGCACCCTCTCTGCCCGCTTCACGAAAAACTGGAAGCCTGCGGGTGCCTCGAAAATGAGCACGATGGTGGAACCAAAGTTGAATTCGCCAAAAAGTTCACCCTTGATGGTTTTGATGGGCTGAAGAAAGTGAAGATCCTCGTACCCATCCATTTTCATGATAATGGGCATCGTGCCGCACTCGCTGGCTGAAACGGGATCTGAAGTGGGGCCACTGGCAGTGCTGGTAACCTTAACCCCACGGCGTGCAGTGAAAAGATGGCGCAAGTAACTGGGCTGTCGGTTAGTCACGAGATCGGGATCGGCGAATACATGGATACTGCCGACGTTGGTGGCTCCCACAGCCACGAAAGCGAAAAATCCGTGCATCCAGTTACCCATGTAGACGGCGCGTTCGTTGATGCAGAAAACCCCATTCAACCAACTCGTCACGAGAGAAGAAACGGAGAAAAGGCGACCTATGGTAGCGCAAAATTAACAGATTATTGAACCGAAATTTTTAAAAGAATAAATTTATTACATTTGGTGGACGCGGTCCATTATTATGGACTAGTGTCCATGAAATCCCACGCAAACAACGCCCGAACTTATTCGGAAAACATCTAACTGATACCCAAAGTTTGAAGCTCTCTCCATATGCCTAAAAGTGCTGCATAGACTGAAAGAAATATTGTCTGCTTCAGTGCCACAATTGGAATCAGTTTATCTGGTCATGGACGAGGTGGGCGAATCATTCAAGCTAGGTATTATTGCGAACTCAAGTCACACAGCCATTGCTCCGCTTTCTTTTCTTAAATGGGCCATTAACTGCTCCAAACCTTTCTAAAAGGTAAAGCACAAACCTGGCCCGCGTTTACCTAATTTTAAATGAAAAACTGACTTTGAATGTGAGCTTGCTTTGCATAACCAGTTAAATGATAAAGGAAGCCCATCTTTTGTCGTGCTCAACTGAACATGTTTATTCCACTTAAATTGTGTGGCTGCCATGGCTGTGAGCTGCTTCACGTCATCATAGGCGATTCTGGTGCAGTAAACCCTCCACCCACAAAAATATTTCATTTTGCCCTGAACTTCATCAGTTGACTCGGATGATTCACTTCATGCCGAAGGATTCTGGGTGATACCACTCATTACTGTAATGACGGATAAGTTTTAAGTAGCTTTTCTGTAGGTGGCCTCTAAAGCCTCAATCACGCATTCACAAATACCGGAATTCTTCCGAAGTGACCTTGTTCATATTCTATTATTCAGAAACAATTTTTGAAATTTTGCCATGAGAAATCCAGCACAAAATTCACAATAAGCGTCCTTCTTCAGAATGTGATCCTTATGTCTAGTTTCAGGAAAAAAACCACCAGGTTGGGCCGATTCGTCTACTGGCCATTTTTCCGTCTAAAAATCGAGTAGTCTGAAGTAGAATATTCTCGTTTTAGTAGTATGTCATCACATCAACGCTAGTAATAAACGCAACATTTTGCCAGCGACACAATAAAGGTGGAGGACTTCGCATGCCAGGTGAGTCACATCTCGTTTGAGGTCCCTTCCACGATATTTAGCAGTCCCGGAACATACTTGTTTCAATTTCTACTAAACCACAGCCATTTGAACTTGCCACTAATGATAAGTTCAAAGTAAGTTAATAGTTTTTTACCGGGTAATATGGAAACAAGTGGTCCTGCAAGTGAAAAGAGAGATACTTTTGAAGCCGTGGACGATGCGAGTTGATCGCCAATGCAATGGGTTCAGGCGTGAGGAACGCAAATCTTCGTTTTCATCTTCCAGCAAGATAAGTATTGAAAAGTTTAAGTGATTCAATCGCCTGAATAGGTATCCCTATATGAATGGATGAAGAGGCTAGTGAAAGGCATTACAAAAGCAAAACCGGAGTGCGTGGTTTTTTTTTTTAATGGGATGTAATGGTATTTCACCATCAAAAAGGTCTCTACGTCAGTGGTGATGCCTAAAAAATAACCTAGCTAGCCGAATTGAAGCTTGAGTGGCCCATATTCGGCGATGTATTTAGGTGCCATCTTGACACCACCAGACGTACTCCAATAGGATACTTGAGATGACTCCTGTTTTCAAAAAGACGACAAAGCAATTATTTATCTGTTATCACTCCACGATTGGGATGATTATTTGAGGTTAAAATTATGCGACAATAACTGGGGATGGGTCGCTTCAAGGAAGCTATTTTCAAGCGGACTCACGATAAGAAGGAGGTGCTAAACACTGGAAGAAGAATACATTCTGAGGGAACCACAGACACGTTACAAGCACTAGTGGATTTAATGAAGTAAATCAAAGAGTACATCCTCTTTTACTTTCCTAAATGTCATCTCAACGCTTGTCAATTTGGTAGGAGAAACTTGGTTCATTTGATTGGATCAAATTGACGATACCATCTTTGAGGAAAAATCACGGTTCTGATAACGATAGAAGAAGACCCATTCTTTAAAAATGGTTGTTATTATTCAACGTAAACCAAGAACTTACTAAAAGAAAAGGAGGAATGTGGTTTTAACCCGTAGGATTAGGTTTAAAATCAGTTGGATTTTATACTCGTCACTAAGTTTCCTATTTTTATCGAACCGCAAGCAGGTATTTCGGTGCGAATTCGGCAAAATTTGGGACATTTGTATCGGAACGACTGAATTTAATGAAATAAAAGAAATGCAGTGTGGAATAAATTATCAGTTTATTTTGAATAATTGAGCTTGCAGTAGATGTGGAATTAAAAGTTTTCACGCTCCTTCTTGATACCGCAATGCTTATGATTTCCTGCCCACTTTGAAGCATAAGTTTGCAAGTGTGGGATGAATTTCCTCCCTTTTTTGCGCTTTCATTTCCACGTCCCGTTTACTATTTCAAAGTCCAAAATGAAACAAATATCTCGCGCAAAAAATGTTACCACTCGACCGGCTTTCGAGTGCAGATTTGAAAAGTGGAAGCCAGATGCTTAATAAAAAGGGCATTTAATTTTCAACAATAATTTATCCCTGCCTCCAAAAATTCACTTTCTTAACAATTTCAGCCTTTAAAGAAATTTAGGGAAAAAAGTCTCAAGACACTTGACGATTTTCATCCACAGCCTTGACCAAGGAGCGTATGACTGTGACAGTGGGCTTTTTGGTACCATAAAGTCGTCCATCAAAGCTAGGGCTCATTTCACAAATTATCGGTGGCTTTTAGAACGGTATTTTGGTTTCAGGAATGGCGACACTTCTATTCGCAATTTTGTAGAACTCAGCCCTTTTCAGATGAATGAACTGCAATTGATGGCTTCATTTAGTTCGCCTTCTCGCAGTTTTATTGTCATAAGATTCTTGAGATCTCCCACCACCAGTTTTAAATTATCTGTATCGAATCTCTGACTAAAATACTCGCTCCTCGATTGCCATTTCAAGACTTAGGTCAAAAACCCAAAATCCAGCACACACGTACCAGGAAAATGCCGCCTCATGTCGACGTTCCAGTCGGCAGGGGAATGAAAGCAATGGTAGTCGCCTGGCGCAAGGTAGATGGCGCAATGGTAAAGGCTTTTGGTAGCCTCATCAGGGCCTCCCTCCTGGGCCGATGGTGACTTGGAGGATCCTCCCATTTCCACCGCCCCGTCTTCACGACACAGAGTGTCTAGCCGCGAAGGCAGAGTGGTGACTCGTCGTACACTGAGGTCATGGCATCGCTCCAGACGCTCATGGGGACCTAGGAGTGCTCGCAGGGTGTAAGCCAGACCCTTAACCTGCTCCAAATGTCCCTCGTCAACTTTTCCACAGGAGATCACCTTACCATCGGCGGGACTTACCTGCAAAGCCGACGCAAAAATCATTGCGCTGCCAATTGTTAAAAGCAGGCTGAACTGAGAATGGGGTATGGGTGTGGGTAGATGGGTGGGTCCATTTGGTTGCTGAGTGCATCTTTTCATTATAACGAAACGATACAAAAACCAGTGCTCTATTAGGCACAATCTCCCGTAAACTTGAGCCATTTTCTCTTTATAAGAAGAAAACTTTTCTTTAGAAGCACTTACTTTAGAATCCGTTTGCATTAAAAAGCTATTGGAGGTTTTTTTATTTAAACGTTCAAATTTAGTGATCTGCTTTATTTGCCATTTGTCAAGTTACCAATAGCATCTATTCATGCTACCTTGTTTTTAACTATTAGAATGACACATAATTTCACACAGACACACAAGTACATCTACAAACCTCGCCTTGAAATGTAAAAAAAGTCTGCAGTTGTGACGACATGCATGAAAATATTTGTATGACGGTCACAGATTTCGTTTGTATCGAGATTTATTTAGAAGATTCCCAGGCTCATAGCAATCATATGAACCTGGAAACGGTGAGAAAACACAAGCAAATGGGTCTCTTGGTCAAAATCTGAGTATTTCAACGTGCTCTAAGCATTAATACAGAAAAAAATTACATCGCAAAACCACATGGCATCAGTTCATCGCACAATAAGTTTTCTGGTCGTAGTTCTTATGAAACCCTGACCTTACCTCAGATTGTGAAACGGTATATCAGCAGAAAATGAAAGCCATTGAGCTCGTCGTCGTGACTGTGAAAGTTATTTGAGTGAGAAAAGTGGTGCTTCTGCTGCAAAGAAATACCTTGCTCTGTAACAACTGCCTCACTTATCTCCACCCTTTTGACACCTTTCAGTCGACTACCGAAATACCAGACGAACGTTTCAAAAGCACATCACTTGGAAGCTCACTTCTACTTGGTTAGTGATGTGCTCATGACAATTACAGATGGAATCCCCTCAAAGCTGTTGTTACCAACCGTTATTTTGTGGCTTCGTTGCCACTGGGTACTAACAACATAGTTCATTAAGTGAATTCATAGACTAAAATCAAATATGCAGAAGTTTATTTTGACTATGATGGTAGTTAAACAAATTGCCGGCTTCAGAGTACATATGCTCCAACACAAATTATAAAAAAACGCAGTTAAAGCCAGTAAATAACATGGATTTCCTTACTTTTGGATTGATTTGAAATGCAAATGAGAATATTAAGCACCCGCTTCTATTCAATCAAGTTTCCTTAAGTTTTTTTATATCAAGTACAAAACTAAAATTTGCGTATTTTAGCTGCCTCGAGGTCCTTAAAGCATTTACAGTCTATGAACAAATGAACAGCCTCCCACCGTATCTTTTCTTTAAGATTTCAGTTAGGATAAATCTAATGTTAATCCTACTTATTCAACAAAATTATCGTTTTAATTGTTAATTTTAGGCATTTACATCCCGATTTTACCCAAACGATACTCACGGTCTCATGTCTCCATTTAAAACAGATTTCGAGACTCAACCTTCGCATGTTTTAAGCAATCTGGATACTCCCCTCCCAGTAAATAGCTGTATTTCCCTTTTATCAGACATACTAAAATATAAAGTTTACACATGGATACTTCAGGGTCGCCATTTTCATGCAATGCGTCTCCCACAATTTTTGGGAGGGCGCAAGTACCTAAGCATGATGGTTTTCCGCCTCTTACTATTGACTGATTTGCATACTTAAAGAGAGCCTAGATTACGATTGTTGTCAACCTTTTCAAAAAAGGGTGTGACTCAGAGCATGATACGTCCCCACTTCATGAAATACCAAAGAGGTGAGTGAGGCGACTCCGGGTGCGCACAGAACGGCATTACAGCAGCCCGCACGACCCCATTTGCATGGACTAAGGCTGAAACTATGGTGATAAATTTAGCATTCATGGAAGGTGGCCTGCAATTTCGAGGCCATGTGAGAAAAAATAAACACACATATGTGCATTGAGAGCCAACGAGTGTGTGGGGCGGACTTATGCTACGAGGCTTGTGATGAGGACAACCCTTAGAGTGTGATGAAAAAGTACATCCAGTATGGTTAATACTTTGTTTTGTAAGCTTTTGGTATCAAAATGAGATTAATTATATCACAGGCTCACACTGACTCGCCTTTTCCGCCAACACGATGCGTGACCTTATTCTTTTCTTCAATAATTGATGGAAGACTATAAAGGCCACAAATTTAGAAACAAGCGGCATCAGCGGCGGTGATCTCTTTGCTTAGCTCCTTTTCCGTCGAAAATGAGGGAAAAATCATTTGTAGTTTTGTTCAGGAACGTAAATTTACGTGCAGAAAGCGAAACAGGCCTTTTCACAATCTGCTGAGTAAAAACCACCGTCCATCAACACGCCAGGCTTTCATATGTCCACTAATATTGTGCACTAGACAAAAATTAGTTAATGTCCGACCATAACTAAGGACCCATTCTCCATCCAAAATTAACATTGCGAACCAGTCAGTTCTTTTAAATACTGTCCTTACCATGTATTGTCGTTCGCCAAGATGGTTTCATGGGTTAGATATGGATGAGCCTATTAGCACATGAAAAATCAGACGCAATATCTCTTCATACTGATGAAGAGACGTATCCATAAAAGGCTACCACCATACCTTCACCTAGCAGAAAGCAAATGAGATCAAAGTACAGGAGTTGATTTTGTCACAAAGATTTGCTTTGCATGAATGAGCGATTCCAGAAGTAGAAGAATCGAAATGTCAAGCTTCAGGGCAAGGGAATGCTGAATTACTCACCTAGGTGAAAAGATAGTTGTTTTCCGTGAGATTAGTCAAATGACAATGCAGGATGGAATGCGCTCTGTGCGCCAAATGACAAAAAAGAACAAATCTAGCTTCGTATTCGCAACCATGGGTAGTTAAATTCTCTTCTTCAATCATGTCATGTATGAGACACGTCCTCCAAATATCCTGAGCCCATTTATTGTCATAAAAAAACTATTTTGGTTTTAAAAATTGGTAATACCTTGAGTTCTGCTCAAATAAAAACTAAAGCGGTAAAAACGAATAAACACTTCATTTCAACCTAGTAACACTCCCAAACATCACTCAATGCCTTGTAAAAACCACGACCTTACAATGGAAGTCACTGTAAGATGTGTCGAATAAACATAAACTGGGTGCCATGGCGAAATGCGTTTGCATCATCTGCGACGCCCATAGTTTGGTAGTTGCCGACCAAAAAGGCTAGAAAGGGTAAACGTCATGCACCGGAAAAAAACTATTCGCTGATGTCGAGAAAGCGGAGTTGATGTGCCCGGTATGCCTGCCTATAAAAATACCGAAGAGGGGTTGACTGTATTAGCTTCGAGGAGTGCGAAAAGCGGGAGGGAAATGGTAATTACTAGACCTTGAACACACAGATCACCAGAAAGAGAGTGGAGTGGAGGTGTATCAAACACACACGAAAAGAGAAATGTATCAAAGGGTGCGCGTTACAGGATACGACCAGCGTGCCAGAAACTATAAATAGGGAAGAAATTGCGTAATATTGAGATATGAATTTGTTTTTCTGCGGTGTGGAATTAGTACTGAATAGCATTTACTGGCACAGCCGACTTCTAAAACGTGAACTCATTTGCGCACTTGTTATTGCATCTGAAATTGGACCGATGCTTACTAATTCCACCATTCGCTATGCCCTTTCATTTTCAAAGTTGGGATGAAGTAATAGAACACACGCATATAGGAAAAAAAAAACAAATCGTGAAGTCAGATAGTGCTGGTGACCGAGACTCTAGAAATAAAGGCAAGTCACGACCAAAAACTCCTTATTTGACGTCGGCCCCACAAACACGCTAAAGGGTGACCGAAATCGCAGTGGCAATATAAAGTTACCTTCTAGAAAAATTGATGAGTGAGATTGTTCTACGCTTCAGCCTGATGATACAGTTCAAGACTATTAACAGGGATGATGTCACGTTTGCGTCTTGGCCATTCTGCGCCCCCTCTACCCGATCAATCTGCACTAATCGTATCATCCCCCAGACTAGTTGACCTCAAATATATTTCATACACGCCCTCACCCAGTCAAACGCGCGCTGGCGTCGATGTTTACTCCACACTCATTCGGCCACTGACTGGTCACCTTTGTACTTCATTTTTTTGAGGTTTGGTTCTGTGAGGATCCGTGTTTCAGCGAATTCTCGTTGGTTTACATCGAGAAGTAAGTCCATGTGGTCAGAATTGCAGTGGGGTTGCAGCAAAGGCTGAAGTTGTTTATGCTAGCCTTGACGCTAATTTCACCTTTCACGACCGGACACATTCTCCAGGTCACGTTAATCAAACAGCGCTGAAATGGCACAGTGAAATGTCATATTCTTGCGATGAAAACATTTCATAATGGCAGAGGAACATTAAATTACACGGTTTAATCCAAGATCAGGACATGTGCAAGCGGAGCTAGTCCTTATGTTTCATCGTGACATGCTCGCATTCGGCGCCTTCGTGATGAGGGAGGTATAAATCTGGTTGCGCTAGCCCCGAGGAAGCCATGTTGTTTAACATCTTCCAACCAAAAGTCCACAGAGGCGGATCCCTACCTGTCAGATGCTTTATGGATGAAATAGCTGGTCAATGAGGCTAAAGCCCGATTTACCTGCATTGTCAGCATTCGCGAATGCACGCTAACCTCCTCCCACCTGCATTGCGAATTAGTAACACTTAACTATACTTGGCAGAGCCAAAATTCGGACTCTTCGATATGCATCCCCCCTCTTTTGCGACCAAATTTTCCGATTATAACACCAACATGAATAGCGTGAAGTGCGCCCTTCGTCAGGGCACACTCTAAAAAGAGTTCAAAGATCTTATTTAACCACAATGCCACATTTTGGAGACCTCATGTTATTGTGGCAGCTGTGGAATTTCATCAAAGTGGCAAGCCTTAAAAGTTCTGCCTAACTCATCTGGATTTGCTGATCGATGGTCAATCATTGTCAGATTGTTTTAATAATACAAATTCAAAATCCTGTATGGAGAAGGGCAATTCCCAAGTGCACACTTAAGGAATGTTTTTTTTAGTCTGTGCGCCTGATGTGCTTACTACCTTGCGAACAGGTGATCCACATGCTTTCATAGTGACCCGATCGTCATGCAACAACAGATCCAGCACTTGCCCCACTTTTCATGCAAGCACCCAACCCTAGCAAAGACACTAAGAAAATGAACAACTTTCTTAAGCGGAGAGCAGCTGCCAGAAAGTGGATTACTAAACGAACAAACCAGGATAATAGGCCTTTTCAACAGCCTCTAAATAAGCCTTTTGCCATACTGTGTAATTATCAGTAAGTCCCCTCTATAGGAGCGACCGAAGAGGTTTAGGAAACAGCCACACGTTTCAAAACCAACGTAGACGTTATTTTCTGGAAACAAAATGACAATACAAGGAGAAGTGCATGAAAAGTGCTTGCTTAAAATAGGCGGCTCAAGTAGCAGGATTTCAAGCTTGTAGAAAAGCAGACTTAGAAAATAATTCCAAGACTTAAAACATGGCCTCATAATAGTCTCAATTAACAAAAAGAATACGCAATGAGTTGGTTAGAGTGCGTATATTCCGAAACGGAAACTTTATTAGTTGAACTCGCAGTGAGAAACCGATTCACTGAGTGATTCTATTTCCTTTTAGGACACATGTTTTGCAAATAAATGCTTTTTAAGGAGACAAGATTTTCACCCAGATGAATGCTTATTTCAACCATCATGGAGCTAAAATGCCTTAATAAACGATGTTTATCCCCGCTAAGTCTGGATTTAATACTACCTTGAGGTGAACGAGGAATGATTTGAAAGGGTCGCACATACACAGCCTTGATAACTCATATTGATGAGTGGCGAATAATGAATGGTAGTAATAGCTGCGTTTAGATAGGCATGTGAAGTCTTCATTGCGAGTAAAGCACTGTTCCACATGTTTCGTGACCTCAAAGACGCAGCAAGCACTGTGAGGCCCTTCATATATGGAACAACTTAGCATGAAAGTGTACTGGTCCAAAACATTACCTTTTGCCCAATGAAGCGTTAAAACCACCCACATAAGTAAAAGAGTGATTAAGGTCAAAAGAAAATCTTTGTTACCTGTTTACTTGAGGTGTCTGAAAGTGGAGTAGCTTACATCTCGATAGCAAATGAAGATTGCTTCAGGCTGCATGCAAACAGGATCCGCATGCTTTTTAAAAAAATAATAAACACTATCTTCAAACAGCATAAATTCGTTTTATACATTCGAACGTGACTTGTAAAGTGGCTGACGTGATGAGGATTTAAGGATATGGATGATAACAAAGATGAACAAAGCATTGTAATCCATTTATGGCAGATTGCTGCCGCTCCTGGTATTTATTTTATTGCCGAATAATTCCTCGTAAAACGCCTGCCTTACAGCACTTTGTTGTGCTTTATTTCGACAGTTAAAATTATTCCCAACAGCGTGATTTATGGCAAATGACTTACCAGAGAGGCGGTAGGGTCCACAGGTCTAGCGCTAGGAACGAGGCGACGTCGAAAAAAGTGGGAAATGCTGTTGTACCTGGCCAAATCGTTGTGAAATTCAGCTTCTTCCAGCCTCGCACTAAAAATCCATGCGTACGCCCGCACTACCGGACCTCGCAGAACTCGCGGAAGTGGAACTCTGGACAGCCTTCCAAAAATTCGGGAGGTTGTGTTGAGGGGAAACCAAGTATATATCCCATAGAGTATGGCTGCTAATATTCTCCAATGCAGTCCAACGTCGTATCCATAGCCACCTTGCGTTTTCTGGCAAATTTCTGTGTGCGCATCCTCCAAAGTAACTTGAGGTCCGAATTTCGTTTCAACAGACGCCGATTTTGAGGGTACTCCACGAAGTTCTCGCTTCATCGTCGATTTTACTTGTGAAAAAGCAATTTGCGGTGGTGGGCAAACAGCTCCACTCGGACATATGCCACTTTTTAAATTGAAGTCCATCTGCCTTGAAAATGACAAAGACCACCGTAGCGACAGAAAATGGGCATTTACAGCACGTCCCAGAACTAGACACGCACCCAAGCCACGGTCGTGCTTTTCCAAAAAGTATGAGTGCCGATGTGTGATTGGCTTTTAGCCGACCCTGCTACATGTTTCTGCCTATTTTATTGGTTAGCTACACACCAGCTAGCTGACGTCACGTCCTCAACGAGCCAATCATGAGCCAGCTTCAATTTGATAGGCAAAACGCAGTTGTTTAGCTAAAAAACCTGCTTAGCGCGAGGTCTGCCATGCTTGAGAAACAGGGAAGTTGGTTAAATCTGAGCACACCAGAATATACTTGGAAACGTGTCGTGTTATTTTAATTTTGTGCCCACATTTAACAGTGAAATAGGCGGTGTATTTGCCGATAATAAGATAGGTTCGATGTCCGCCCCCTTCAAGTAAACAACATGGCTCATCGCATATGTACTGAGCCATTCAGAAAAGTAATTGCTCCATCTTCGTGGTAAATGAAGATTTTCACATGAAATCGCTTCCAGGTAGGTAGAAAAAGACACGGTCTAGACGCGTGGTTCCACACCATGTTAGAAATCGCATGAAGCAAAAGTATTTGTCGTGACGACACTAAAAAGTTCGACTTTTCATATGAAAAAAGTGCTCTGTAGACGAGAATTCCCAGTTTTATTAGCAGAAAAACACAGATAACGAGAATCGCCACGTCAGTTAGTAGGATGGGTGTTGTTATTGTGATTAGTTGTGCTAGCAACATCGAAAGCCCAGAGCTGTCAAAATAAAAACTGTTTGGTGAGCGCATTTGCTAAGTGCCAAAGGATGTTTTTAAGCTTGTCTACGACTATCGAACACACTTGTAAGCCTGAAGAGATGCGACTAAGTACTTTAGCACAAATTTTACTCTCCATAGATGTCGCTAAATACACCATTCAAGAGGGAAGTTTTAGGACTCCTTTGATCATACTAATTTCCAGTCATTACAACACAGTTTTATTGTTCAATTACAAGAAATACACAACTTAATTGGCATTAAACTCACTCAAAAGTTCAAATTTAATGATTCTAAAAAGTTCAAAAAGAACCGTGCAATGCTAAAGCAGTAAAAAGAGCGATTGACATTCGAGTGATCAAGGGCGAGCGCCTGAACCTAAGCCAGTGCGCTTTTTTCGGCTGTATTGTTGAAGTAGCGCCTTGAAAATACACCTCGCTCCGATGCAAAAGTGGACTTCCTCCTCAGCATCTCCCGCCTCCAATTTCAATGAGCGGGTGATTTTTCCCGTCTGAACACAACTAGGCTCATCGAAATCACTTGACCCCTGGGGAAGTGGTTGCGGTTCCCAGCATTGGCAAACTGCAAAGCCGATTAGTTCCAACTTAAGAATTTGAAGTAACCTTTGTCTTTTTAAACCTTTGATAAAACGCAACCCTTGGCGCGTTTCCCGGTGCTGAGTCATACCCCAACTACCACCAATTTTAGTCATCGCTGTCTGCAAGCGTCGTAAAACTTTCACGCAATCCGGCCATTTATCCGACGCAGCGAACCCAAGCCATGCGTGCATCAGTAAAAGCAGCGAGAAAGACAACCCAGCACTACAACAGAACACCAATGACGATGGGTGGAGAAGTGGAAGACATCATCAGCTCGACTTTTCCATGCAATACATAAACAGCAGCGCGTTATCAGAAATTGAAAACCCAAAGGAGAGAAAAGGAAATTCAACTCATTTCTGCTCACTCGACTGTTAGGCCAGATTCCACCTGACTGAAAACGCAGCGTTGAATGCAAACTCCACGCCGCAGGTTCACCACAACCTAACAAATTGAGAGATTTATCTAATAACTTCTGAGTGTTCTCATCCGTGAATCAAATGTCGTATTTCCCCAAAAGTTCACTAATTTTGCAACAAACTGTACGCATGCGCAACCCACTGAAAAAGCAATTAGAGCACAAAAACAAAGACACGGGGGAAGAGAGCACTACACAATGTATTTTGGCTATTAAAAATAGTAATAAATGTGGATTAGGACTGGTCTTAGCATCAAAGCGAAAAACAATCCCATTTACTACAGCTACGCTAGAAAGGTTGGGGGGCGGGGGGGTACATTACACAGCCAGAAACGAGTTTGGCAAAGCACAAGACAGGGAGAGGGGAAAGGAAGAGAACAAACGGTGGCTACACAATTAATGGCTCAATTTCTGGCTGAGACTACGATGGTGGTGCAGACCGCTAGTCATAGTTGCCATGCACGTGGAGAGGATGATTGTGTACAAATTCTAAAATCCTGAAAGTTGTTACAGATGGAAGAAGAAGGAGGGAAAGGAGGGAGAGAGGAGTTCACTTCACTTTATTGCCAGAAACAGCCGCTCCAACAGGGCTCTTTGGTGAAACATCATCGTCTTCGACGGGAGAAATTTGCACGGTACTCACCTCCTGACTGCTCAAACCGTTTCTACCTTCGTCACTCCTAGAAACGGCGACCGGTGGGCTAATAGGAAAAAGCAAAATCCCATTATGCAATAATCACATTGCAAACCGACGGTGGACGAGATGCGAACGCTCACAGTTCCAGCTCATTTCTAAAGGCTGAAACACCACAATAAAAAAGACAGGAACTCACTTTAAGTGGACATAAAAAATCCCGTTTACTCGATTAAGGGTATCGAGAATGGTCACAAAGGTGGGTGTGGGGAGAGCCTGACCAAGACCCAAAGTGGCGACCATTCTCTTCCCCTTTCCATTGCCATTCAATGTCTCCGCGGTCCTGGAAGCACCGAGGGGTTTCTGCAGTTGACGTGCCACATTGACAGCCTGCTGCGTGAGTGTGTGAAGGCACTCGTTGCTGTCTCTCGTATACTCGCTATTCTCACCAAAGCGCTCCAGATAGATAGCGTACCGACGCTTCTCGCAGTCCAACGCGGAACGAAAGTCACCCCGGTAGGCATGGGTTCGACTCAAAAGGTGCGAGTTAAATGCCTCTTTTAAGCTCTTTTCACCATAGAACCTGAAATACGGATATAAAAACATTATTCAGTCCAGTTCAATGAAAGCAAATAGATATGTGTCCTCAGTGACCTCACATTTTGTTTAACTTGAGGGCATTTTCAAGGAAAATAACGGAGGTGTCGTACTCCTCTACTGCGTGAAGCATAAGGCTAATATTGACGTCAATTTGAGCGATTTCCGGATGGACTTCACCATGACACAAGAGAGCCAGATACCGGGCTCGATAGAGCAGTTGAAAAGCGATCGCCACGTGTCCACAGGCGAAGCAATACAACGCCATGTGTATCTGAGATTCGAAAAAAAAAGTAAAGATTTATACAGTGCTACAAATGGAACAGTTTATGACTTACAACATTTAAGTAGGAATTAATTACTAGTATCAAATGCTAATTTGGGAAAAAGTAAAGTCGAATTTATTCGCCATGTTTTAATTCCTACATTGTTCTGCATTGAGCGTACACCTCTTAAGCAGTCTCCAAAACTATTCTTATGAGACCAGCACAAATCGCAGCGGATTTGATGCTAACGTTAAATGCAAATATCAGTAAGCCAGGGCACGACAATAATGCTGCTTTGCACACATACAATCAGAACAACTCATTATCAAGATCTAACGATAAACAAAACAACACGAGTTCGCTGCCAGCACAGACCCCAAGCTTACAGGTGAAAACGAATGGGGTCGACGATATGACACCATTGGACTTAAGTATGACGTGAAGGCACCACAGTGCACTGAAAACTTTCAACTGTGATAGCACGATACGTATTTGTGCAGATGATACACAAATCAAATACGTTATAATACGTATTTGATCATCAAAAAATTCGACTATTGTGCCGATCGGCTACATACATATTCAGCAGCGGTGCTCGGACTATCAATGCCATGGACACGTTCGCTGATCATGGTGGCGCGTTGCTGGTAGAGCAGAGCTGTCTGATGGTCACCCATGACGTAAGAGAGGCGAGCAAGAAGCCTGTTGCAGGCGCCAATATCGGGATGCAGAGGGCCATAGACGGTGTTGAGCAGATTCAGTGCCTCTGAGATCAGCTCAGAGCCGCGTTGAAGAAAGCCCTCAGCGATGTGCTTCTGGCCCGAAGTGAAGTAGCGATAGGCGTGGAAGGCGTAGGGGTGGAGGTGCTTCACTAACGGATAGAGAGAGACCACATCCTCAAGAGCAAATACTGGGCGAGAGTGGTGGCGAGCACCGTTCGGTGGGAGGAGAGCATACTCGTGCAAGACCAGTTGGATGCCCACTGCCTGGCAGAATGAGCGCAAAATTTGTGTGCGTGTGACGCTATGGGTCTGGCAGAATGTATCCACGTCTGACCTTGGAAGTGAAATAATCACAGGTGCAATGGTAATCCTCAATTTGTCAAGGTATTGGTAAAGGCTGAATAGGCATTACGCTTACAGTTCCAGATCAATGTGGTAGTATTCCTTGACTTCTTTGCTTAGGCTGGCCCAAAAAGAGGTCGCCGTTTCATTAATCCAAGCCATTTCCTCTATAGTACAAAGGCATTATCGTAGCGTGATCAGATGTAGGAAAGAAAAATTTGCCAATAAACATACCTACGGAGTCCAGTTGAGACTTTCCACGTTTCTTTCCCTTCTTCACTTTGTGCATTTTCTGAATTTGCTAAAGCAAAAAAAGATACATCCATCACTTATCCAACCTCTGTAAAAATGAGGTCTGTGTGAGTGTATGCGGACTCAAGAGTTACTGAAAACGAAAACAAGAAACGTGGACAACATAACATAACCACAGCATCCATTTCTGTAACACATCTCCTTTACTTAAACTACGAAGCACAAATACATTTTCTTTTTTCTTCCCCCCAACCTTTCGCTTTGACGTAGTTTAAAAGATCTCCATTGCAAAGAAACGAGAATGCAACTGATGCGTATACTCGTACAAATACTCAAGACGCCATTTCTAGATTCTGCATATTAGAGCAATAGAAAATTATAAAATAGAATTGCTAAAAACTCGTCAATTTTTGTCTGTTGAGACCACCCAGAGTTCGGACGATTAATAAGTATATCACACCAATCAAATACCGATTTTCGGTGTCTTATTTTAACTCCGCACAAAAAGAACCGATGATGGTACGAGAAAGAAATAATAATTAAATTTTCCTTGCAACGAGGATGAACCTCCAAAGAAAAAGATTTATGATCAGTAAACTCGCATACTATGCAAGGAACCTAGCCACACAGTACCGATTAGGGCCCAGCGAAAGGGGGGGTAAATGCTAATATGGGTATGGACGTATTGGGTGGAGAGGAGAGGTCATAAGGAGAGAGGGACACACCCCTTCCTGACTAAGAAGAGGAAAGAACAGGGTATAGGTACTCACCTCATCCACACCAGCAAGGGGTTGGAGTGAAGGGCAGGCAGTGAGAAGGCAGTTGAGGAAGTGGGCCACGGCAGCAGAGACAAACATTGGATCGACATCTTGAATGTATGGTTTGAACAAATGCTTGGCTGAGCGGACCACCATTTCGCAAACCGCTAGTCTCTACATGGAAAAGCATAAAATTGATTGGGAGCTTCAATGGTTTCGTGAACGCAATCCTCTTATTTAGGATAAACTCACGTATAGGTATGCAAGAGTGGGCTTATCTTTGATCTCCTCCACGATTCTATTCAAGTAACGAACGTTGATGCCCCTGCAAAAAAGGAAAAGTATATGAACAAAGACGAGATCTCTACACACTTGTAAATTAAACAAGTAAGCCCTAAAATGAAGACGACTATGCAAAACTGGCTATACATCAGTCGCCTGAATGCCAAGGAGCACAAGAGCTAACTTTGGAAGAAAATACGCGAGATTTTTGGTTTAGCACACACAGGTAATCCACCCAACTAATGGAGAAGTTGTGAAACCTCTTGCCAATTGTGTGGTCAACATCGTTACCTGAGGGCAGGTTATCGTATACGCTAAAATGCCTTCAAAGCAAGCGCAAGTTTATGCTCCATCAAAGAAGAGAAACCACTTGCAAAATGGAGTTGAAAGACACTTTCGGAGATATTTGAAATCACTAACAGAAAAATGTGGATAAAACTCATACGAATTTCGGTTCAGAAGGGGGATAAAACACGGTTCCAATATACCGATTCCAAACAACAAAGCAAGAATTAGGCTTCACATTTGTATGAGCTACTGTCACGCACAGCAAACATTTAGGTGGAACACTCACCTCTGGTGGAGAATTTCCACCAAAGCTCGTCCGTCCTGTGGAATGACTGTGAAACTGAGACAGTCTTCAATGAATGTAGGAATCTGGTGCAGAACAAGGAACTCGCAGATCTCTTGGATAAGTTCTCTATCCCTCTTAAGATCTTCCTCCTGTTAACGACAAATTCAAGTAGAGAAAACGTGAGATTGAAGATTCTGAACTTTGTTTAAACACATTTCAAGGTGTTATCAACAATAAAAGTGTCAATCGGAAGGTTCTACTCCAGTAGCGTAGTTATAACTTTACGCAGACAAATGGTGAAATGGCAGACGTGACTCTTACTAACTGCCACGATTACACATAGGAGTGAAAAAAAGACCAACCTCTTCCTTTGCGAAGGTAACAGTAGATTTGAAAGCATCAGGGTTGAAAAGAATTTCTAATGAAGCATTTTTAAACGTTTTGATGGATTGTGTCGCCCTCTTCATGGCTTCTTCTAAATCCGGATCATCTAAGTTAACAAAATAAATTTTGCGTCGAATGTCCAACAGACAAACAACCTGAATATCTAGGCTTGATGGAGGTCGTGGGAAACAAGCAAAAAACGTTATTAGCTTCAACATTATGGCTGAAATATGATCCGCTTAAATGATTGGTCTCTGAAATTATAAACTGCGAGGTACAAACCTGTGCCCTCGGTCATAGCCCTTCTGATTTTCGAGAGAGAAATGCTATCAACGTTGTCAGAGTGTTGAGTACCGCCGAAGCTTTTCTCCTGAAGCATAATTTGTTGAACCGTTTTGGCGGCTGAGTCTGCATTGAGTAAGAGAACACCATTTACATCATTGCTGGGGCCCTTAACCTCCTTCTCCTCCTCTTCCGCTTTCGTTCCTTCCTTCACCGCTTCCGTATGAGATGTTGTGCGAATCTTCCGCAATTCTTCAGCCGCCTTCCTCGAAAATTCCTCCTGACGCAAGCTACACAAAGGAATAGGTTTGTTGGGGTTCGAGACAATAAGTGCAATAAACGTACTCGCAGAAGGAATCAACTAGTTCCTGTCGAAGGGAGGGAAGGAGGTGGCGATGGGTATAGGGATAACCGAGTTTTTGCATAGTCTCACTGAGTGCAGGTCGAACGGAGGTAGGAGCACCACCAAGGTAATTGACATCGGGGGGAAAGGTATTCAGAAGATCAAGCAGGTAGGTTCGGTTATCGTTGCCCACAATCCCCTTGCAATCCACTGAGGACAGGAGGTTAACAACTCTGTC